TATTTTAAAAATCTGTTGTAATTATTCTGGTTTAAGGAAGTCAATAAATGTAGATTTGATAAGATAGATTTTGATTTTCAAATCAAAGGCTATAATAATTGTTAGGGAATAAACTCAAAATATGATAGCTTTATAATTAAATACAATTAGTATTTTATGCAAACTGGTATAGGGCATAAGGTTTGTCGGTTCGATGAACAAGGACTTGTTAAGTTTATTTAATAACGCCTGTGGTTTTTTCAAGAATAAACTTTGGCACATTTACTCTATGAAACTTTGTTCTTCTTGTGAACCTTATTACCCTACTGTTTATTATTAAATCGGAAGAATAAAGTGTGGAATTTTACTCTCACAATCATAGTTAGGCCTACTCAGATTTATTCACGACATGGAATAGGCCTGATGTTATTATAAAAACACTTGGTTAATTAAATGATAAAAGGAAGGAAAGCCTTTACTATTAGCAAGCGTTATTTCTCTCCTGGGCTATCACAGTTGTTTCTTTCTTTGATCGGTTCTTTCGAAGTTTGTTTATTTAATGTAATGTTTTGAAATGGTACTTGTACTTGTATGCCCGAAATATTATAAAGTAAAATAAATTAAATAATACAAAAATATATATAAAAGAAAAATAATATATTATAACATTTGTATTGCGGTATTTCTCAGGCATATGCAGCTCAAGTCCCCTGTCGGACAGCTTAGCCCCACCCCCTCCCCCAGAAAATGTATTCTAGAGCCGCCACTGACTGCAGGGGAAGGGTTGTCTTAGAAATTGATGACGAACAGTAGGCTTATTCGTTACGGGAACAGTTATCGTTTTCGTAAGCTTGCGAAAACTCCTTATTGTTTTAAGTTGTTCTCTTCAGATCGATTCTCATAATTATATATTTCTGTATTACAGTGGATTTACTTGTTCAGGTATGACGTCATGTTACCTTATATATCCCAGTAACAATGGTTGGAAATTTCAAGATCCAAACGGAGACACTCATTCTTCGGGTATGAATTATACATTATCTGAATATTGTGAACAAAATTTACGTTACCTATCTCTTTTATTCACTAATACTTGCTGTACACAACGTATAAATTTCTACGTGGTGTACCGCTGCGGTATTAAATATTTTATTACTTCGCAATGCAGACCTTCAAACAATATCTTATTCTCATTCAAAATGAGCGGATTTTTGTGAAAGCTCGGAGAAACATATACTAATGATTTTTATTTTTATCTTATTTTTTACAGCAAATGATGTATATTCATCACCAAACTGCTATAAATTTATAAAACTAAACGGAGCAATGCAATCATGTATTGACACTCAGCGTGAATGCAAAAAACTAGGCGGAAACATCACCGTAATAAACAGCATTGAGGAATACGAACAGTTGACAGAAGTCGTGGTCAATATAATGAAACCCTTCCAAGATAGAAACTTCAATGTTCATAACCAAAAGGATGGTATAAGTAATGGATGCGCAACAATCACAGTTGAGGATGAATTATTTATAAATGATGATATAAACATGGTGAACACCGATTACTTTAAAACTCATTTGGTAGACGCTATTGCTTGCGAGTCATCAGGTAAGTTGTGGTCACAAAAGGTACGGTAGGATTCGATTCAGAAATCCCCTAGTGTCAATCAAACGGAACAACTGGCCAATCAAAACAGTGCCAAGATTACGCGCGTGTCCAACAAATACACGTTGTCTCACAAGGCCCTTTAAGTACTTTTACGTCATGGCTACGTCATCTCTTTGTGGGACCTTAACAACAATAACCAACGGGCGGAGCAAGTTGTTGTTGTTTGTCTACACTATCATATTTATGTGACAAAAAATGCGATGTGCCCATATATGGGCACGATGACGTCATATCACATACTATCAAATTGTATCAAAAAAGTTGAACATGTTCAACTCATATTTTCCATCACATTTTATGTGACGCTTTTTAATGAAATTTGAAGCTTACGTTTTGTTTATATTTTTGACGAAATACATGTAACGAAATTAATGTCCCAAGTATTACATAATAAATAATAAAACTTCGATAATACTGGAAAAATATAAGCTTACCGTGCAAGATTTCAACTATTGACGTCATCTGATCATATTATGACGTCAGGACAGTTCCTGCAATGGGCTTCCTTATATATATA